GAGTTACAGGTGCTGGAGCAAAAAGTGTTACAACCATACCCGGTCTCCCCTATTTATACTTCTCATTCAACCACAATTAAATTAACTTTATCTAGTAGGCACAATTTATATGGATAGTATTTATTTTTTTTACAATAACAAGCTGAAATGAAAACAAGCAAAATGAAATAAAAGTAACCAATTTCTATTTCTTGTCTTTTAAAAACTGCAAGGAGTAAAAAGTACAGATAACTGTGTGAAAATGTAAGAAGTAGTAGTAAAAATAATTACTCAAGTACAGATACCTAAAAATTGTACTTAAATAAAGTAACAAAGTATTTGCACTTAGTTACTTTACAACTCTGTAATTAGGATAATTAAGGCTAATTGTATTCTTTTGCATTTCCCTGCTGCTGAAATAACTTTTAGTTTCTTGCATATTAAATAAACTATCTACCTACCCGCCCTTCTACCTGACAGCTGCAGTGTTATTTGCCTGTTGTGGGCGGGGCTTCCGCTCAGGCAGGTGATGGGCGGGGCCTTTTTGTCCTCAGGTGAGTGGCGTTTGAGGAAGTTGAGGATCCACCAAAGCTGAAGCGGTAACAAGTCGTCAGAAATGGTTTTGGTTACAACTTTCACAACAGTGTTTATGATCTGAAAGGGGTTGAGAATCCACCATGGCCGGGTCAGGTACGTGGCTGCGCTCTGACTGGTGGGAGCTGTGGGGGGGACTGGGGGGTGAAAGGGGAGGGGGGATTTTCCAGGTGTTGTTGTGAAACTTTTAGGCGTGGTCTGTGTGTTAACGTTGGTTGCTTCAGCTGAGCAGCAAGGTTTTGTGGTTGTTTGTGTTTTCTTTGAAAGCTTTCTTTGTATCAGAGGGAAAACCGAAAACCCAGCTGTTGATTGTGGGATGATCATAATAAAGCTATACTTCAGTGTCAGGCCTGTTTTATGGATTTATGCAAGTTTTATTCCATTATTATTGCTCAGATCTCCATTTTCAACTGAACTGGATTGAACCAATTGAACTGGAACAATGTAACTGGATCAGAWATGGACTGGTTGCTTCTTAAAAATGAGTTTAGGTGTTAAATTTGCATGATATAACTAAGCTGAATTGAGGTTTATGACCGTTTAAAGATAACTTTAATGAGTTGCCTTTTGATGTTCTGATACTTTTATTCTACATGTACTTGTTTATTTTCCAACACAAGTAGAAATGTGATGAATAAGCTGACAAACTTAAAGTATTGTTTTATTAAAATACGTAAAAAGAACTATCCAAGTTGCACCCTAAACTAAAATTACTTATTTCACATGTAAAGTATAAAGTAAGCCATTATTATTATTATTATTATTATTATTATTATTATTGTTAGTGCTATTCTTTGTAACAACGTATAATGGACAGAGTCTGTCTTTAATATAACTAAAATTAAAAACACAGCCAGTATTTGCAGACTTGAAGAGAAGATGCACAGCAGCAGCTACCTGACACCACCTGACCGACCCCTCAGCTCCGGTGAATGTGGCGTTTGAGGTTCAAACACCTCACGCCCAAGGCTTTGTCTTGTTTTGGCTCAGGATCAGTTTACTGGGCCTCGATGTGGCTTCTTTGCATTTCCCTCAGAGTAAAAACAGAAACTGAGCAAAAACTGTCCCTGCACCGCCGCCCTGCTGCTGCACACAGGATGAGCTCATCGGCCACCACTGGATTGTTCTCAAGGGCTTCCGCAATATTTTTGTAAATTTGTCACTTCTGTTCTGTTTCACTGAGGCCTCAGTACTGTAATGARCTCCCATCTGCATCCAACAAGACAGAGCCTGTCTCTGCAAACTCTAAATGTAAAGTAACAAGTTGTGGCATGGATAGTTTGCGCTTTAAATGTTCTCTTTACGGATGTMATCCCTCATTTATAAAAACAAYACATTTCTGCATTCACCAGGACTGTGCTGCGCCAGCCTCAAAGATGGCAAAGTTCTGATGAAGATGGGGCTGGCCCTGGTTCTAGTGGGCCATGTCAATTTCCTTCTGGGCGCCCTGGTGCACGGCGCCGTGCTCCGACACATCCATGTTCGAAACAGGGTCGGGACTCTGTTGTACGCCATTTCCAACATCATAGCCATCGTGGCAGGTCTGATGGTGAGTGAAATCATTGTAAAATTGTAAACTATTTATCAAACATAAAGCAATTTAATCCAGTAGTTTTCCAGACACACTGATAACACTGGCTGCATTCAATGGCAACTTATCTTCATGCTTTACCCAACAAATYTGAGTGTAACTACAAAACAATATCAAAAGTGTGTGTTTTGGATGCGGACTCATAAATGTTGCATCACTCGTCTGATTATCCTGCTTGTGTCTCTTCAGGGAATAATTAGTGGAATAACAGCCATCGTTCTGTCTAAAAACAAGAAAGTCAAGACCCTGGTAAATACTTCTCCCACCTCTGTCATTTGCTGGCTCCTGTAGGGACATGTCTGCTCTGACACTAAACTCACGTCAGATTTCACTCGACATGCTTTGAATCGCTTCTGTGACTGAGAAACGTGTAATTTGTCTTTCCAGATGTGGGTTCTGCTGGTCTTCAGCTTCCTGACAGGTCTGTTAGGAATCGCCTCGGCCACAGGGTTGGCAGCTTCTGCGATTAGGACTTTAGTCTTTAAAGGAATGAAAATTCTACAGACCCACTGCAACACCCCAAATAAAGAAGTCGCCTCATCGAGCATCACATTCGAGTGTCCTTTTGATCCAACTCGTCTTTATGTAGGTTGTTTTCCTTCTTTCATCAGGTTTAAAAAAAAACACATTTAATGATCTTTTTTGTGTGTTATTCAGGAGACTATAATAGTTTTGTGGGTGCCTCTTGTCGTCATGTCCRTTGTGGAATCAGTGTTCGCCTTTCGCTGCTTTTCTGCCTGCACCTCCTTCCTGTACCTGTGTCCGTGCAGGAGGAAGCCCCTCCAGTCCAGGGTAAGCAGCCGCATATTTTATCATGTGCACGAGGCTGGGTTTGCCCCCTCTCCTCTTTTTTTTAAGCAAGTGTATCTCATTATAAAATAAAAAAAGGTTAATATATTACATATAATGTAATACTTMTTAGATGTGTGTAAAAATAAACCCTTGATTAGTCGGATTAAGCTTTTGTCACGAATCAATCCAGAATTAAGTTTCCATTAAATAATTTTACACTACGTTTCAGGTGCGTGGACAGAAAAAAGTTGAAACCCCGGCTCCGGCTCCAGAACCAGAGACCGAAGCCGAGGACGGACCCACCGAGCAGGACGACCTGCTGCGCAGTAACTCTACGGCTCAGCAAAGTGACTGGGTCTAATGAGATTCCTCGCCGTGTAAAAAGAGAGTTCTGTTACACAGTTTGAAGATATTTGGATTTAAACATAAAAAAGCAGCCTCTTATTACCATTTATGCTCTTCAGTTCACTGCGGCATGAAATACTGTTACTCTGCTTTGAAATACTCGTCTTGTTCAAAAATTTGCTTTGTGTATTTTTACTTTTTTATATGTTTTTTAACGAACTGTACATCAGAAAGCAGACATTGCCTTTTTTTATGCTTATTAAAAACAATGTTTGAGCCCATTCTCAGCTCATGTTGGTGTGGTCGAATTTAAATATTAGCCAGCAGTTAAGTGGAACACGTTTACTAAATGTTTTCAGAATACAAATATATAAATATATACAATGAATATTTTAACATTTGCTTTGCCCCTTACGAGGACGCAAAGCCCAACACCAGGGATCTGTTCGAAGAAACATTTGGGAAACTATAGGCAAGAGTTCTAGAAATTTGCCCCAAAAAATGTCCCCCCCTTTTGAAATGGATACTGAATTGTAACCTAAATTTTATGTATTAAAAAAAGCAGTTTGTTTACAATGTGCCATGTAAAAAGATAAGTTTAAGCAGAAATTTTACCAAAAAAAAGCATTGGTTATTTCTACATCATTCAACTACATCTGGAAAAGGCACAAAACAAAAGTGGGAGTGAAAAAAAAAAAGGTACCAAAAAATATCTGACTTAAATAAAATCCAGATATATTTATATATAAAAAAACACACAAGCTAAGCCATTTTTCACAGAGTTGTTCACAAGGACAGAGCGAATACTTTAGCATTAAAGGATTAACTTCTTTTTTTGTTTGACAAAACCAAGACTCAAAAAATAAACTTGTGTTCCAAAAAAAAACAACCTGAAAAAGTTACAAAGGTGTTCTTAAAAAAACAAAACATTTGTATCTCCATCCCATTCAGAGGAGGTTTGAAAAAGGAACAGTCCTTCACTGGTTTCCACTGCAGCAGTCCAAAACTTATTTAAGGAAAAAAAAAAAAACTCTTTAATATCAGCGGTGATCCGGTTTAATTGGTGTCACTCGGTGCTGAGAACCTCAAGATGTCTTGGTTTCCTCTTTTGGCCTAAAGGACCAGGATTAAAGGAATGATTAACGCCTCCTGTTCACCGCCTCCAGGGCATCATGGGTAATAAGTGTGTGCAGTGTTTTCTCACTTTGACGTGTCCATTTTCTCCTCCTCTGGCACCTTCTCCTCTTCTTTAATGTCTTTGGAACAACGAAATAAAAAAAAATCAAGAAACTTCTTTAATAAAAGAAAAAGAATTCTTCAGAAGAACTGTCAGAACTTAAGAGTGAGGATGAGATGAAAAAAAGGGGAAATTAATGAAATCTTGATACCTTTTATTTCCTCCTCACCTTTCTTCTTCTCTTCTCCCTCCTTCTCTCCGTCAGTTTTGGCTCGCTTGGCTTTCTTGTAGCTGGCTGTGTTCCTGCGGCCTCCTTCGCCTTCATCCTCGGAGTCGGAGAACTCTTCCTCACACGCTATCCTTTTGTCTTGAGCGCGAACTAACAGTCGTGAGAGGACAGGGTTCAATCAAAGCATTTCACTCATTTAGAAATTTAAGCTGCAAGGGAATCGATCTGGAGAAAGTTTTTATTTACTAGATATGCGCTTGTTGGGATCTTCCTCCTCGTCTCCGCTGTCCTCCTGCATGGCATCTTCTGGGATGGCCTGCATCTGGACACCAGGGGCGTGAGGCAGCATTCGCAAGTTCTCAAACAAGCGCTGCCTGAAAAAGAAAAAAAAAAAAAAAAGCATAAATACAGACAAAAAAACACACAAAGTAATATAGTAACATCTTCAAAAAACTTGTGACAGCCGCCTTTATGCAACTTCTCTAATTAATCTCACAAAAATGGATATTTAATTGGTTTCAAGAACTCACTTGATCTTCTCCAGGTAGTCATTCGTGTTCTGGTTCGTCATGTTGGAGGGACTGATGTGCAACTTGAAGTCTGGTCCAAAGTACTCGAAATAGTCATTGTAAGGCAGCTCTGTCACGTAAAGAGGAAAGATTTATGATTAATGTACACTTTTAACCAAATACTCTTGTGCTTTTATAGAGCGTTGGAGCAAAACAAACAAACAAAATTTGTCTGAACAAGAGCTGAAACAACCAGTTAGAGCAGTAAAAAGAYGGCATTTTAAAAAGGTAATACTGTTGCAGAAAGCACAGAGAGAAAGTGAGGACACTTAAGGGCTCGACACGCGGGAGGCGACGTAGCTCGCTCTCCATTCATTTCCTATGGAGCCTGTGCGGTGAGGCGACAATCGCTTGCCCTCCTCCAGCYAAGCGACCGGYGAAAATAGTGCATGTGAAATTTCGCGCTCGTACACGTAGACGTGCACACGCGAGCTTGCGACGCGACATATGAAAGTTGAAAAATGTTCAACTTTTATCGCTGTCGCTTAGCGTACAACCAATCAGCGAGGGTTTCATTGACTGAACAATGAGAGGAGAGCATGCTACACACTGCAGCTAGCTAACACTTTCACCAAGTGATTACTAAAAAAGGCAGCTTTGTGGGAATTTATTGCCACCAGGGTGAAGTTTATGGTAGGTTTTTCCTCATAAAACTGTATCTTGATGTGTGTTTGTTTTTCAATATCATTAGCATCGCAAGACTTGTTTAGTTTACACGTCCGTAATGCACACCCSCCTTCAGAGTCAAGAACCAATCAAATTTTGTGAAGACAAGCGATCTGAGAGTGCGATTCGCAACGCTGCGATCGCTATCACGTCCCGTGTGTCGGGTTTCACCCTGGCTGCGATGACAGCCGTTAATCGCTGTTGTTTGTTGCTGCCCGTGTGTCGAGCCCTTTAGCAATAAATCTGCTAATTAAAATATTTATTCTCCTAGCAGTTCATTTTGATGCGATGGCTACATAATGAAGCTTTAAAATGCGACACATTTAAACAGTTAGATGGTTTAAAAATTTAAAAAAAAATCCCTCAAAACTCAAGAGTGTTTCTGGAAAACGTAAACCTGTWCAATTGAATCTTCATACTTTTAAACTCGCTTTTATAAACTGAGCATTCTCTTTTCTTTAATCAGTTTTGAGTTCTTTTGTGCGTTTATTTATTATATTTACTGTCAGAGCGACGCAAGAACAAGACATACCGTTAGGGATGGAGCAATCCAGGGCCACAGCGGTCTCGAACGTCCAGCAGCGCGCCACGTTGCGGATGGTGTAACCGCCTCCGCCCAGCATCAGCAGCGGCAGGTTGAAGCCCTTTATGTACTCCACACATTTGGCATGGCCTAAGCAAACAGGAACAAATGATTAAAAACACCACAGATACTACAGAAAACTGCTCGTAACATCACAAGTCAACACGCTCGTTAAMTTAACGTGCCTTTGATGGTGAGGTTAAAGCAACCGAGCCTGTCCCCCGACAGAGAATCAGCTCCACACTGGAGGACCACCGCACTGGGCTGATACATCTCCATCACTTTGGCCATGATCTGCAGGAAACAAGAGTTCTAAATAACGTTTCCTGCGCATGAAAAGAAATCATAACTATGACATTACAGAAGTTCTCACCGGTTTAAATATGGCTTCATAAGACTCGTCATCAATCCCATCCCTCAGCGGATAATTCACAGCATAATATTTGCCTTTGCCAGCACCGATGTCCTAAAAAAAGACAAATAAGTATCAATTAAATATGTTGGAACTTGGATTTTTAAATACACAGTCACCAGAGACGTACCCTWAGATCACCGGTGCCAGGGAAGTACTCCCCATACTTGTGGAAAGACACAGTCATGACACGATCAGTGGTGTAGAACGCCTCCTCCACACCATCTCCATGATGGATGTCAATATCAATGTAAAGAACTCTCTGGTGGTACCTGAAAATTAAACATAGTTTTGGGAGTTCAACGTGATCAGCCTAGCATTTACAAACTGCTAAATTTAAAGCGATGCTTATTTTTCCAAAGGTTTCCGCTCACTTCAACAGCTCCAGAATAGCCAGGACGATGTCGTTGACGTAGCAGAACCCGGAGGCCTCGGACTTCTTGGCGTGATGCAGACCTCCGGCCCAGTTGATCGCGATGTCTGTCTGCTGCTTGTTCAACTTCACTGCGCCGGCTGGAGCACAGGGAAASAGGGAATTCAGAGTCTGATAAGGTTATTGACATTTTTTGAGATTTAAAAAAAAAAAACTTACCAACTGAGCCTCCAGCTGAGAGTTGGCAAAACTCAAATAAACCATCAAACACTGGACAGTCCTCTCCCACATTAACTGTAAAATAAACACACACACAGCCAGCCTTAGCATTATGTCTCTAAATAAAGTAACTTATCTGACCAAACTCACATCTCTGCATTTGTTTGCTGTATTCTGACATGTTGTCTGGTCTGATGGAGCGCAAGAACTTGATATAATCATCGCTGTGATACTTGGTCATCTCTTCTCCGCTGGCTTTGTGCGGACGCTGCGACACAGAAAATGGATCAGATCTTCAGACACACATGAAAAGGAGAACACATATACAAACAGTTTGATTCGTCATACGTATATCTCCATCTTTCTGTAGAGGCCATAGTTGAGCAGTAGGTTGTGTGTCATGCGGATGCGGTGGGGCTTCATGGGATGGCCCTGACCGTAGTAATAATTCCCAACATCACCTAAAGAGTATTAAAAAAATACAAAAACAGTATGCTAGTGTTTTAGTTTTTTGTACTTAAATAACAAAATACGACAATAGAAAAGAAAAACACTACTTGAACAGACAAGAATGCAGAAAAAACGGAAGTGCAGACATTTATCAATCAATATAAATATTTGTTAGAATTTGCACATCTAAAATACTGAAATCAGTTTTGATTTAAAAGTAACTAAACTGGACAATTAACTTTTTGGACCACCGAACTATTAATGTCGATTCGAAATACCAAGGTTTCTAGAAGAAAAAAACATGAGCTCTTCCTAAACTGATAACTAATTTTATTGACAATGAACTCACATCCCCATTGTTAGCGCGCTAGCTAGTTGACTAATCCAACCAAAGTRCTAATACCTCAGCAAAAATGGGTTAAACTGCATTTTAAGAACCAGATATGTCTTAGCGAAGCCACTTAAACATTTTAAGGCGTAATTTCTCCGACATAAACGCCAGGCTGAGATGATGAGRGCGTCTCACGTTAGCTATGCTAGCTAAGCTTAGCAGGAGGTGAACGAAACTATGGGTGCTGCAAAAACCGACGCATTTCGTCCAAAAATGCGCCCGTTTGCTGAAGTGCAAACAGTTGTGTACTCACCATCATAGTAATAGCAAACTTTTTTCTTTGTTCCTTGGGAAGTAAATGCCATTTTTATGTCCTTTTTTTTTGTTGTTGGCTGGCGTTTTATCGCGCACACACTGTAGAAGAGGAGGCTACGGCGATCAGTGATGATGAACAGACTGTAACTCCGGCGGTTGTCCACAGGGGGCGACAGAGTTCACAGCACGAGATCTCTAATTCCAATTTTAAGAGCAGATTCAGTTTGTCGTTTGCATTTTAATTGACTGAGCTTGATTTTTTTTTTCAGTTTGTCAGCTTTTAGATTCTGTTTCACACATTTATTGTGAATCTAAGCAAAAGAAAGTAATCCAATGTAGAAAAATATATTTTAAAGTTGACAAAAGTAGTTTATCTGTCTATTATCAATATACTGTTTGCATGAGACTGTCTTAAGCTCCTGCCTGTGTTGACATGCACAACAAATAAAAGAGATTTAGAAATGAAAGAATCTTATTTTCTGATTAAATAAAGTTGTAGATAAATAAATAAACACATCATAGCTGCACATCAAATAAACCAGAGTTCCTCTCAACACTTCATTTACTCTACCGAGCTGCATTTCATGAGTAAGTCTTGATTATTTTAGAAAAACATACTTCATCCTCAGTTATTTTTTTAAAATAAGACATTCAAAATGAATTATCCATCCATCCATCCATCCATCCATTTTCTGTACACACTTCTTCCTTTTCAGGGTCACGTGGGTCACTGGTGCCCATATCCAGCAGTCACAGTGCGAGGGGCGGGGTACACCCTGGACAGGTCGCAAGTCCATCACAGTCAAAATGAATTATATTTATTTTATATATAAAACATGAACAACATYTTCTGTGGTTCATTTTTATGGAAGTACAATAACACACAACATCCAAGAAAAGCTCTTTACTACAACAGGCATTAAGCTGCAGAAGTAAAACACAAATGAAGCAGATATTTACATTTTAAAAAATCACCAGCAGAGCAGCTGTTTGTTCAGCTACACCACTACGTCACTAGTTTGATGAYCACGTTCTTCTCTGCTGCTGCGGTTGATCCAGCTGTTCCCGGTCCATGTTTCCACCAGAGATTGATCAGAAATAGTTTGATGCAAAACACAAACAAATAGGTACTCAAATTTTGATCGTTTCACTTTCAAAAACCCAGCATCCACTAGTTTGATTTRACGTAAGTCTCTCTTTGGTCCACTTCTACATCTACTCCTGGTACTGCCTCTCTGTGGCGGTGAAGTAATCCTCCAGCACATTCTTCAGGTGCTCAAACGTGGGTCTGTCCGCAGGTTTCTCCCTCCAGCATTCATGCATGATGTTATAAAGCTCATCGGGGCAGTCTTCTGGTTTGGGCATCCTGTAGCCCTGCTCCAGGTTCTGGATTACCTCTGGGTTTGACATACCTGGAAGAGAAATATAAGGTATTATGACAAATAAAAAAATAGAAACAGGAAAAACAAACACTCACACAGAGGCACAGCATTCCTTGAACCCAAATTATAAGAAAAGATGGTGTTATATTTGCTTAAGCTTTTAAATGAAAAATTGTTAGCTCTTTATGTATGTGTTGAGCATGACTCTCAGCTACTACAACGCTTTGATCTCAATATCTGCAAAACTGACTGAGTTGCGGTCATTTTCGTGATGAATATTGTCAATTGATGACCATGTTAAATTGGAGCGACTCCTAATGGTAATCAGTTATAAATATACTTCCAATGATAATCTTCTGAAAGACTCATTCAAATCTGTTTTTGCGTCCAATTTTTATTAAATATTTTGCAAGTACTACAGAAAAACACACAAACACACACGCACAAATGAGCGTTTACCTGGGTAAGGAATACGTCCATACGTTACTATTTCTGTGAGGAGAATCCCAAATGACCACACATCAGATTTTATGGAGAAAGTGCCATAGTTTATTGCTTCTGGTGCGGTCCATTTAATCGGGAACTTTGCACCTTTAAATTAAGAGAAAACATTAATTTGAGGAAGAAAGGACACACAAGAGCAACCCTGATATCCACTTTCAGTGAATGCAAACATGCTTTGAATACAAATATAATGACGTGTATACAACGGGGTGGGAATCATGGGTGTGAAGGGTGCTGCAGCACCCCCCCGATGATTGTCAAAGGGCGTGTAGGTCCAAATATATTGTTAAAAACGTTATTCAAAGGAGGAATAAAACAGGTTTTAGTTGTTTAAGTTCKGCAGAAGCCTGTTAATCCCTCGTTCATTTCAATCAGGTGCAGAGAAACATTTAAAACATGCACCGTGTTTTTCACGTGTGTTTAGATTTATACCTGTTAAACACATTCACAGAACCCCTCAATTGAAACACAWCTACGGTGATGCACAGACACATGAAACGAAATATGCAGAAAGTTTCTGGTACCTTCTCTGGCCGTGTATTCGTTGTTCTCTATGAGCCTCGCGAGGCCAAAATCTGCGATCTTACAAATGAGCTCATGAGAAACTAGAATATTTGCCGCCCGCAGGTCTCGATGGATGTAATTTTTCCTCTCAATAAACGCCATGCCGTCGGCCACCTGCAGAGGACAGCACATCATCAGGCCAGCCCCTAAACAAAATGACTGAGAAGAAACTGGCACACTTATTCTACGGATGAACCCAAACCAGGGAATTTACCACTTCCTGTAGGTTAATTACTTCTACCCTTTTACCCCCCGATCTACACTCCACCCAGATCCAGCTGTGTTTGTCTTTGTGACACAAAAAGCGTCACTCTTTTTTGCCTTTACCTGACTTCTCTCTCTGCTTCTGTTTCAGTCAAAAACTACGACTCATTTCAAACTATAAACCTTAATCTAATGCTGATGAAGGAGGAAACAGGAATGTGTCATGATGTCTGAAGGGATAGAAAGTACCACCTACAAATCCTTTGTGTGTACGTGTGTCCAGCTTCCCGTAGCTGTGGAGTTTTTGTTTGAGCACACCTCAGGTGCAAGAATGTGTCATGTACGTGTCACGGGGTGTGATGTTTTTGTCAGAAACTTGAGAGGAACACATAAGTTATAGCTCAACATTGTGGCGCCCACCTCACAGCTGCTGACTCCTTTAACTGTCTCATTATTTTAATAGAATATCTGTTTTGCAGTCAGCTAACAATTATCTGAGGTAAAAATAAAACACGTCTCCTTTTTATGCATTTTCACGATCCATCTCAAATGCTCTAAATTCGTGAAAAAGTTTATTTTGTCTTCTGTAAAAGGTTCACCGCACAGCGCTGCATAAGGTGTGGATTTTTGCACCGAGCTCCGAACACGTCTGAGACTTTGTCGACTAAAGATGAAGATTCTTATTTTTTTTTCACCTAAGACTTTGAAACTTCAGTCTGTCTTCCTGTGGTTGATTTTGGCATTCCCACACCCACAATATCTCATGCAGTCAAACTTCTGTGACAATAAGAGCTGAAGACATGAGCTGCTTTTGAAATTTCTTGAGAATAGTTGAGCCTAAATTTAAAAAAAAAAGTTTGTAGCCATAAATTAGCTTCTTCAAATTATTAGTGATTATTTGAAAAAGTTCCAAACATCTTTAAAGCTTATCCTGTTCTCAAGCTTACACTTTATTTATCATTAAACCATCCTTTTTTCAACKGTAACTGATTAAATAAATAACGACTTCGTGAGCAGGACTTGTGCCATTACTTTTAGTATCTTTGGCAAAATTCAGAAAACCTAATCTGCATCACRTGTTCAGTATCAGGTTCTTTTACCACCTTTAAATCAGCTTTAGTTKGCACTTTTTTGTGTGAGAACTTTAACCAAACAAGGTACCTTTCATTAAATTAGAACAGTTTTATTTGTGCCACAGCGTCTGGACTGAAATTAATCCAAGCACACGTGCATCCTTGCACACGTTATTTCTGCACAAGTGACGAGATTAGTGTTCAGCGTATGCCTCATTACAGCAGCTGCTTGTTTTTTGTTTTTACTCAGAAGGATCTGACTCGGAGCAGAGGAAGTGAAAGAACKAGATGGGGATCTAAGAAAGTGAGTGAAAGGAGTGTTCTAGGAATAATGAAAAAAGAGAGAAATCTTGCCTGAGCTGACATGTCTATCAGGGTGTTCATGGGCAAATTGCTTCCCTCCTGGGTTTTCAGGTAGTCCACCAGGCTGCCTGAAAAGTACATGCAGATGTTTTAATCAAAGCATTACATCAATCTTTATTATCATTAATGCATTATGTGACTGTAGTTTGTATATTTTACGTTTTCAGATGGCATGTCTTCTTTAGTTCAATGTGCAGTTGATAACGTTTGCTGTCWTGCCGTGTTTTTCCAAGTCTTTATGTGACTATTTTTATAAAATCTGTACCAATTCTCTCAGGACATTACTGCTTTGTCAAACAAACTGAATCAACAGCAAATGATGACAGTATATGGAAAAAGACTCAAACAAAAATACCTYGAGCAAGAGACAAAAGACATTTTTAACCAGTGGACAATTGGGAGACAAAAATAAWTACGGGACCAGAATAGCAGCTCAAATCAGCGAACATGTCAGTTTAAGGAAGTAAACAAAACATCTGTCAAGTCGCTGCAGACTTTCTCACAGCTAATCAAACCCACAGTTTGGTTCGATCGGTGCAGAATAATACCTGCATAAGCAGCGGAAAGACTTTAATGAAAGTGATTGTGCTGGAGGTTTGTAACTCTTTTATTTAAATCCAGGAGATTGCTTTTGAAGTCTAGAAATCCAGAGCAATGCTCTTTAAAAAAGGCCACAAAGAAAAGGMGGTAAGGCGTGCCTGGTGTTTCCCTTCTTTGATAATACTAAAAGAAAAAAGGAGGGCRACAAACTGTAAAAGATGGGAACTCTAGTCATCCTTTCTCTCAACCACAGAAGCATCAATTGTGTCCTGTCCACACACGGATCAAAGAGTCAGAGAGACAAAGAGTCAGGCTGGTGCAGAAACACTGCCGGTTCACAAACTGTAACACAATTGGCCTTTTTGCTTCAGCTCTAAAGCTGCTGTTGTGTTTGTGGCTGCAGCTCTTGGTGCATTTTGGTGTCTTCACTCACACCGAGAAGAATAATAAGAAAGGTTAAAGCAAAACAGGATAGCATCTGAATGTGGGGTTTTAAGCACATTACGCCTTTATTGTGCTATCATGCTTCCATCTGCTGCTGTGGACCTATTTTATMATTCTGTCACAAAAAAAATCCATGTCATAATGAGAAAAGATTAAAAAGAGGAAGTGACATGAAACACATCGTTAACCATTYAAAGTGTTTTCCATTTTTTATAGCTGCAGTAAAATGTGTGAAATGCTAACTCTGGAGAAGTGCCAGGGATCAAGCTCCTAAACAATAACACAACAATCCACCGTCTCCTATTTTAACACCCTTCGTCCCGGACCGGCCAAGAGAAACTTCCCCTCGGCCCGTAAACACGGCTGGGCTGGCTGGAAGGGGTCCGGAAAAGAAGTGAAAGTTCATGTTTGTTTCGAAACATTTTCACCGCCTCGCAGGGGATAACAAAGGCGGCTGATGAGGAGAGGGCTGGAAATAGCCGGGGACACTTCAGAGGACAGCCTGCAGCTCTAACAGGAGATTTCATGTCCAGTTATAAACAATGGTTACAGTTTAAGGCTCATATCTGGTGTCACATAACAGGAATAAAAGCAGAGTCGGCTGGGAAGGTGGGATGGAAAGACATTAAGTGCTTTCATCAGAGTCACCGGAGTGGAACGTTTGTGTGAAGCCTTTTGTTCAAACTCGCACTCGGCGCCTGATAACAGATCAACGTGTTTAATCCTGAACATCTGTGACACATGTGCTACCAGACATGATTAACGCAGACAGGTTGGGACTCATTCGAGTCGACTGAGCTCACCTGAAAGAAGCTGAYGTCACCACTCCACGAAATGAGAAATACATTTTAGACTGAAAAGAAAAAAGAAAGAACCAGTTCCTGCGTACCGTTTTCCATGTACTCTGTGATGATATAGATKGGCTCCTGAGTGACGACGGCGAAGAGGCGGACGAGGTGACGATGCAGCAGGTTCTTCATCATGTTGGCTTCTGCCAGGAAGGCTTCCACTGTCATCGTGCCCATCTTTAGATTCTTAATCGCCACCTTTCTGTCGTTGTTGTAGAGACCTGAGATGATTCAAAGCCACAAGAAAAACTTGAATTTAAGTGAAYCAGTGGAAGAATTTACACTTGAAAAACAGACTGTTGGATTTACTGAACCAAGTTATGTCAATAATTTTCTCTAAACCAAGGGTGCCCAAACATTTTCTCTGAGAGGGCCAAAATTAAAATCAATCGGAGGGCCGCGGGCCAAATACTATAATGTAAGAAATGCAAATACTTCTTAAGTAAAGTTATTTTTTATGATTAAACTAGCAGTCAGAGTGGTTGCATTATTTTTTTTTTGTTTAGTTTTTTTTTTCAGCCCTTGAACATGGAGAAAATTCAACATATGCTCGGGCAGCAAAGGCTCATTGGACTTTTCATAATTTAAAATTCAAGTATATGGGGTCTTATAAGGTGTGCAAATCTAAATGTGGGCTTTAATCTAATCTAAATGTCTCTTGTAGTACATCTTAAATTACAATCCACTAACCAGGACAGCTGATGGGCCAAATCAATTGGCTTGGCTGGCCAATTTTGGTCCGTGGGCCCCACATTGGGCACCTCTGCTCTAAACTAACTGAGTTGAGTAAATGTGAAGCCACTCACATTTACAACTCAAAGAAATTGYGATAAAGTTGCTTAAAGTTGCTTTACATTTACTCAACTCAGTTAAGTGGAAATTGTTGACGTAACTTAGTTAAGTAAATCCAACCATCTGTTTTTTTTAACACAAATTATACAAAGACCTGAAAAAAATCTGTAGGCAACTTATTTCTGGAGATAATTTGATCATAATTCATTCAAATGCAGAATTCCACTGTGTTACTCTGAGGCCTTGTGGGACTTTTTGACCCAAGGGCAGCAGGAGGGTTGAGCGAAAGATTGTTAAATCGAAAGGTTGTTAAAGTTAAGCATCATTTGCTAACAGCTTTTAATTTCCAATGAAACTCCTCACAGAAAATAGTTTCACACATTTTAATTTTTTTATTTCTGTAACACCAGAACAAATTTCCATATATTTTACTTGAACGGGTCGGCACCGTTTTGTAACCCTCAGCTCTCTGAATAAAAAAATAAATAAAAAGTCTTAATCAAATATAAAAATAGCATTCACCTTTGAGTGAAGGATGAGTCATTGAAAGTTGTTCTTTGAAAAATAAATATTTCTACTGTATTTTTTCCCAGGAAATTACAAGCTCGTATCAATAAAAATCATTTACATCCCTGAGTTTCCATTTTAGATTTAACATAAAATACAAAAGTTCCAAAACTGCAGGATATAATATATAAAACTTTTGTTCGGTTCTTTTTATGTTACACTATTTTATGCCAAAGCATTTCCTCAGTGAAAGTTTCACGTGTCTTTCATGCAAACAGAATCTCCGGAACACTGACGCTAACTCAGTTCATCTCAACCGAAGCCGTGACCAACCAGTTTTTTTTTTCTTTCATTCACTTCTAGCATCTCTTCAGCCATGAAGCAAAGCGATGCGGGGAACAAATCTTTATCTGCTGTTCAAAGYGTTCTTTCTTCTCCTTTAATCTGTCTTGATTTTTTCAATTCTAATACAACAATGTGGTTATTCTCATGTCAACCAACAGCATACAGACCAATGTTTGGATGAAGACAGGGTAACAAACATGCAGGACAAGACTGTAAATGGAACATGGCAGTGAAATGAGGACAAGTCTAGCTTTTGTCCAGGGGTTTGTTTGGGAGGTTAAATGGTGCAGGAAAATGAGGATGGAAAATCRAGGGAAAATTACCCCTTTAGCTCAATAATAACGAGGTTGTGGCCTAACCAAAGGGMTTGTGATCAAAACTTCTAGCCTTTTTGTTTAACCTAGCGTTGCACAATCACATTTATGAAAGCAGACAAATCTGCAGATCCTTAATCTTTTCAGAAAGTTAGATTTCTAGTTGGAGCAATGTTGCGCATTAGGGTTAATACCACACATCATTCTTTCGTTAACCAGCCCAAACAAGCCTACAATTAGGACTTTGCTTAGGAAACTCTTCTGCACACACTGCAGAAAAACTCTGGCTCCTGGCAGGCATACTGTCTAGCTTGCAACCAGACTGGGCATCTGGGTTTTTCACATGTAAAAAAAAAAAGGTTCCTTTTAGAACTCATACAAAAAGGAAAACAGCTCACCCATCCAGACTTCTCCAAACTGGCCAGCTCCAAGCCGGCGCTCCAGTTTCAGGGACTCTCKGGGAATCTCCCACTCGTCCTGCCACCAGGGTTTCTGTGGCGCCCTGGACTGGCACGGCTTCACCAGGAATGTGCACAACCCATCCGATTCACCTGAACAACACGGGGAGAAAACAGCAAACTTTAAAAAATAAGCAAAAACTCAAATTTTTAACATCCAGGGGATTTTTTTTTTTCAAATCGAATGAATCGTTTTTTTATTCATAATGGAAAAAAAAAATCAAATGGTTAAAGGTAGAAATTGTTCAAGTTTTAGAGGAACAAAAGATCATTTTAAATTTTAAATCTTCCGCACATATATATAAAAACAGGACAAGGGCAACAAAAAGCTCTGAAAGTACATTTTAGAAATGGGAAACATTTCAACTAAACAGGTTAACTAGCAACAGGCAAAAATAGAGCATTTTACAAAAGCTGCATCTCTTAGATATAACGATGATTACTTTTTCAAGGTAAAAAAAATCAGTCTGAGGCAAATGTTCTGTGGTCAGAAAATTTTTAATTTGAGTTTTTGTTTTAGAAATTGCACGTCCTATATAAACGAGCAACCATCCAGGCTTAACTGTGCACAGTTCAAAGGCCTGCCTCTCTGATGATGTAGGGGTGCATTATTGTCTATGGCGTGGGCAGCTTACACACCTGGAAAGGCACCATTCAACAACATGTGCTCCAAGCCAAATGGAGGCCTTGCATATTTCAGAAAGCCAAATAAATAAATAAATAAATAAATAAATAAATAAATAAATAAATAAATAAATAAAGAGTTTACACACGTGAGTAATGCTGGACGAGCTCCTTCAGTGAGTTAAAGGAGATCTTGGTCGTGATGTAGAAGCCGCCGTTGTCCAGGTTGCGGATCCTGTAGTGCTTGACCCCTTCGCCTGTGTTGGGGTCCAAATCCCTGATCGATAACGAGTACGACCCTGGAAAAACAACGAAGGGAGGAGCACAGAAGTTATAACAAGAAAAGTTAAAATCTTTGGGACAAATGTTCACACAAAAACACCACCGGGTTTTAAAGTTTAGCTCTGTTTTAAAGCACGTGAAAAGGAAGTATAACGGTGTTAAGGGGTCAGACGGTTTGCTGTTGGAGTGTTAAAAAAGATGATTTTGTGTTAGATATTAAATATAAACATTACCACCATTTATTTATGACCTATATGACATACATTGCACATTTTGGGCTAGAGTGTAAACAGGTCAGGTCTCAACATTAGATTTTAGCAGGAAAATAAAAGTGAAATCAAAAAGATGAAGCAAACTTGGAAACAGGAAGTGGCTTCTGGGAAAGTGCAACTATAAGGAATGAAGAAATAAGTCTACATTGTGCAACATTTTACTCATTCTGGTTATAATGTAACGTTCTAGAGAGCATTTCACCTTTGGATGTCTCGCTCTCTCGAATCAGGAAGGAACCCTGCGTGTTCCCCGGCGCGAGCAGGAGCCTCATGGCATCGTTTCTAGAAATGTTGGTGAAGAACCACCTGCAGCACAAAACACACCATGAGCTTCACTCTCTGAGCTAAACCACTTCCCTTCCTTCAGGGACACAGCGCACGAGTCGAGACGGCGCTCAGACTTTATCGTGTTTCCTGTGTGACGTACGGTTCTGTCTCTATGGTGGTCATCGCAATGAAGTTGTATGGGATGTAGCCCCGCTGACCGGTGGTCAGGGACTCGGCCATGTACCACTCTGGATCATCCCTAAGAAAAAAACAAACAAAAAAACAGAACCGGAYCAGTTTGTTTAGATTGTCTGTTGCCTCAAAGCAGCTTGGACTAAATTCCCCTTCAGAACACAATCAGCTCCAACATTTAGACTGAGTCTTTGCACGTTAAATGCATGAAATGAACCACATCACAATCTGCATCCGACTCAGTGGAAAAATAAACTGCTAATATTTTATCTTTGCCACATTATACGTTCATTTGAAGCACAACAAAAGAAAAACCCACCTTAAAATTTTACTTGAAAGTATTTTTGTTTATTTTATTCATTAATTATCACTTAGATTGCGTTAATCAATGTTATGGATACAGCTCATTTTAATTCACAGTCTTGTTTTACAAAAAAAAAAAATTAATTTAGTTTTATTTTACTATGTCTTTTGTTTTGGTCCATTATTAACCTCCATTTTTTTAAACTAGCTTTTAAATTTTTATATTTTTTGCATAAACTTTTAAAATTTTATTAAAAGCTCTATACATAAAGGTAGAAAACAGAACAAAATTTCAACATGTGTGACCTTTATAGTCAAACTTAAGCTAGATGTCCATACATGTCATGCTTTATAGAATATGTAAACTTTTGATCAACAATAAAATGTCCCAATCAAAAAACATAGTCAAAACTTTCCCATCAGATTTTGATTTGTCATGAAACAATTTTAAAAGGTATAAATCATAAAATAAATATATTGTAAACTTTTTATGACTATGGAGGTGGAGTTTCATTGTGTCTTTGCACAATGTAATGTTCTTAATATCTTACCTCTCTGAAACAGATAGGCGGTCAGTGGTTTTAGGTTTAAACTTAAGGATTTACACAGCAACATTTTTATTTGCTTTGAAATTCTTGGTAAAATGTGTTCAATGCTCAAGATTTAAAATTTGTCATCACAATACTGTATTCAATTTATCTCGAAAGAAAAGAATCAACACACTTGGAAAATATGCAGAAAAGAGGTGATGCTGACATGACGTATAAAATAACATTTTGACTTGTACGTTAATCTAACTGATGCATAAAAGATTCAACTTTATGTGTAATTTTGCAAAAATTCCTGTCCCATCAGGAGTTTGGGTACTGGTGTTGAGATGTATTTAGGGTTATGAGGATTTTGCTTTTAAATTTTTCATTATGTTTAACTGTTGGTGTTTCAGACAGACAGGAAACCTGCCGGAGTTCATGACGTTACAGCAAACTTGATCGGAAAATGTACCGGAAACATCCTGAGCTTAATATATTCAACCAAAACCACAATTATACCGGAACAAACCAGAATAACATCCTTTTGCATCATTTGTAAAAAATAAATAAATAAAATAAAATAATAACACATTGTTTTCTGTATAACATTGAAACATTCTATATCTTGAACTTTTTTCTGCAAACAAAAATTCATCAAGTTGCATTCACCCATAGGCGTAATTTGCAGGGGTTTAGAGGGGTTATGACCCCCACAATAATTTGATCAAGTCAAAATACACCTTAAAATGACATCATTTACTCAAACACAAAATAAATTAACTGGTTAAGTAGACAGATGCAACTCTCTTGTTGTCTTTAAGTAATTTAAACCTGAATTAAATATTTACAAAGTCATGCATGTACATTTAAACATACTGTAATTGCTAAAAATGACATGCAGGGTTTTAGAGCATTAGCCCTCCAATGATAGACCTAAAGTTATGCCTTTGCATTCACCCTTAACCTAATTTTTGAGGAAATTTTTATTTTTTAATTTTTAGTTTTTGCTGTTCAATTGTATTTAAACATTGTATTTACTTTCTGGGCGGAGTTTGCATGTTCTGCTTGTGCTTTCTTGTTTTATCCGGGCACTCCAGTTTCCCCCACAGACCAAAACCAAGTATAGGTGACCTTCAGGCCCAGGCCACCCTYKCAAGAGAGATCTGTGATCTCAATGGGATTTGAGGTTAAAAAATGGCAAAAAATAAATAAATTGAAAGCAGCTCACTTGTTGATGATCTTGAGTTTGTCTCCTTTGTCAAAGCCCAAGTCATCRTCATGTTTAGGCTCATAGCTGTAAATGGCCACGCCAATGTTATCTGGAAAAAACAAACAGATTAAAAGTGTTAGTTTGTTGAGATTCTGTAGTAACAAATACTTTTTGGTAAGGTATTTTAAATTCTCCAAATGTTTTCAGTTTGGAAACAAACCGTCCTGCTAGACTTGGGACTATAACAACCCCAGAGATCTCAGCTGAAGCATCAGGGGTTTTACGGCAGGCCGTTTTAACATTTATTCAAAACCTACTCCTCTCTGTTATTCCATTTGTGGATCACTAAAATAACATTCTTCCTGATCAAAATTACATTCCTACTGGTCAGAACTGTAATTATAGATATCTATAATTACGTTTTTGCTAGCAGAAACTTAATTTCAGGATGTCATAAAATAAAATCGAACTATTAAGAATTAAGTATCAGATATCTATAAATCTTTACAAATTATAAGTCGCCTATCTAAATTGTTATTTTAGATATCTGGAAGTAAAAGCCCAACACACATGCATGAGGAAAGTGTCGTCATTTGTACTACCGGTAGTAAGAATTATAATCTTCCTATCTAAAATGAACAACTTAGATTGGAAGAATGTTGTTTTAGATGTTTGGAATGTTCATTTTGACTAGGAAAATGTATTTGAGGTATCTGAAATAGATATCCAGTCAAGCTATTAAATGTTAAAACAGCCTGCCAAAGCAGTTTTGAACCAAGGCCAGCAGGAGGGTTAGGGTTGAAGCTGTAACCTCAGAAAGGAATCATTAATGGTTGCTACAAATTGATAATATTGTAGAGAAATATTCAGTTTTTCATACCCATGACCAGACTTCTTTATATTTGAGGAATTTTTTGCCAGATTTGTGGATTTTAATTGATTTTCTCTGCAGACAGTGAGTCTCTTTACAAACTATAATTTGTTTCTAATGAGGCTCAAATCATGYTGAAAGGTGTACAGAAATCCAGCTGACCGCAAATGTTTTTTTCCACTTGAAATGGGAACGTCAAAAAGCTGAAAGAAGACGTGAGAATTGAAGCACCGGAAGAACATAAATACCTTTGTGGTTTACTGTTGTTTTGAAAGTAATGTTTTGTCGGTTGATGCCAAGAAAGGACAAGTTTGTCCCTAATGAGACTTCATTAAACACTCAGCAACTGGACAATACCAAGTGTCATCAAGGCCGTTTGTTGACCAGTGAGAAACTGGAGCATGTAGGACACACAGCTCTCATTTTTGTAAGACGAAAAGGGAAAATTTATATTAAAATAGACAATGGAAAATGTTATGTAGACAAATTCTAAAATGGAAAGGTTAATTTAGAACACGTGTCAAATTCAAGGCCCGCGTGTGACTTCCATCCGTCCCGCCAAAATTTATTCAATTTTTAAACTTAATTTATGATTCTGTGCAACAAAATAAACTAATTTAAAAGATGAAGGATAATACTKGTCCTGCCCCTAATGTCTCGATATAAGCTGCTTTAAAGCCAGCATCGACCATAAACTATATCTTCCATAACGCATGTTGATGTAGGAAAGTAGGAGAGTTCAAAATTCAAGACAGCAGCTGTTCACCACAACTCATCAGTGAGTAAAACTCACTTTTTTTCCTTACAAAAGTATTTCTGTATTATTTATTTCACATTTCGTCAGTCATACACATGGTGTTTTTCAGTGTTTGCAAGAGGTTAAATGCAGTTTTTATGCAGGAAATACCACGTAGAGCTCAGTTATTGTTTGTTAACGGTGCTCAGCTGTAACGATGAGACAAGGAACATGACGTTTCATGTTTAGCTGAATATGAAACATTCAAGTTTATTATAACTGGTCCTTTGAGGGCCACCAAAACACTGACGAGGCCTTCTGTGAAAACGACTTTGACACCCCTGATTTAGAAGATTTAAAGTGACAGGACTGAGAAATTTGACAATTTTCTTTTTTAAGGCTTTTGACAACATCCCGTTCAGTTATTAGATTCAACATTGAGGTAATTCCTCATACAGGTGTTTTATAGTTTCCTTATTTCTGATTGAAGCACCGGGGGGTTTACCTGGTAAAGGTGATGTTGGAGGTGAATACTGTGATCCATATGGAATGAGCTGATCTGTGTACTGTGAGGACAAGAAAACAAAATTAAATTTACACCCATTTTGTTCACTAAAAACCATGAAAACTGTGTATAACTTTGTCTAACACGTTCACAATAACAGCACAGCTCTTACAGTAACAGTAAAACRTGAGCAGCTTTGGTTTTTCTGTAAACAGAAACACCTCACTGTGGCACACACAGGTGGTTTTCTCCTTAACTCTAATCTAAAACATCTGAGTCAATTCGAGGAAACAAACATTGCAGAGGGAATGTTACACTCTTGTTTAATTGCACATCACACAAAAGACAACTTCCCTCCCAGTTATTATGTAAGGGATTCAGATGAAGCAGCCAGCGAGTTGGACTTTTGTTAAAATTACATAACAGAATAAATTGTGGGAGCCCCGTGTTCACACCCTCACTTTGACACAATCACCTTTTGTGTGTATGTGTGCATCTCAGGTGGTCATTCACATTCAACCACAAAAGAACAACCAGAAGCCATTCGCGCTGCGTATTTAAACTCCGACACAAACAGACAAACTCTTACTGGATTACTGGACTGTGGGGGGATGGGACAGTTGCAGTGTTCGCAGACTTCATCCAAGTTCTCGATCCAGTCGCTGTCAGAGTCCGAGCTGCAGGTGCATCCCATCTTTCCTGCAATTTAAAAAACCTTCACTTTCAGAGACTGTCAGTTCCCACTTTGAGGCACATTCAAAACGGTTTGAAGTTTTAAAAATCCCAACGCCATCGGTGAATTTGAACATTTGTATCAGTAAAGTCAATGACAGATGAAAGAAAACCATAAGTTCCGTCAACTGTACAGAATRTTCTTTGTTGAGCTGGGAATTTCAGGCAAAACTGAATATAGTTTATCTTTTGAAATGTCTTTATGGGTTAGTGTTGATAATACAAAAAGTATAAATGTTTGTAGATTATACAGATTAAAAAACAGGTTAAAAATGGACTTCTATTTCAACTGGACTCGACATTTTTAAATGAAGAAGCTTTCTGGACAAGGAGCAAAACATCTTTACCTTAAAAACAAAAAAAAACTGTTGTTTTGTTTTTTTAACCGATTTTTTTGATTGCTCATGACCTGACTGACTGAGAATCTTCTCCAGCATGTTATCTGACCGATGTTTCTATTTGTCCGATCAGATGACATTCACCTGATTGACCGGTAACTCCTGTTTGTGTTTAAGAGTCTGTGTTTTTGAATGTCCGTAGCTGATCATGGTGTTATTCTGTAAGGCAGATAACTTGTGTTCTGGTGTATCCATTCATCTTTTTTGAACATTCACACCTCAGAGTTGTGCGTGCCAATCCTTTGTCGGAAGTTGCTGAGGGCCTTGACACAAAATGGAGGATCASCAGTGACTGAAGTAGAAAAACGAGCCCGTAACACCTGGGAAATTTCAAATATTCAACACACTTTTCGTCACATTTAAACCTTGTCACACGACAAAATGAAATAAAAGCTGAAGGAGTTTTGCTGCAACAGTTCAGATCTGGGTTTAAGTCCTCCTTCAAGCTTGAGTGCTTCAGAGATTCAGAGATTTTAATCTCGTCCAATCTGTTGGCTGAATGTGGTTTTGTTATTTTACACAAACCGGCTTTCTCAAGCTTGCTTGACTCCTTTCAGGCCTCTCGTGGAAAAGGGTCAGTGGGCTAATTGCCGCGGCCGTCTGTCCCAAAGGCTCAAAGTCGTGAGAACCCTTAAGAAGTCTGACCTTACACTGCTAACAACCCACGGGCTCTGCAGAGAGAACCCATGAATGAATCACATGGGGACCACCGGGGTATAAAAAGGGTCTCCTACGCTTACAGTGAGTCACACAAGTCAGCATTTTCCACACAGGGGCTACCCTCTGCTATTTATTAAGAACTGGAGGCCTTTCCAAGCAAACAGCTGATTCTTACATGAAACATGGTGGAAATTAAAAAGAAAAAAAATCAACTGCAAGAGTCAAGAAAAATGATGATCTAGAAAAACAGATTTCCATGTTGACAAAAATGTGTTTGTAGCATCAACAAGCTAAACACAAAGTACACCTATTATGTCCTAATAGGATTGTTTTTGTTACAATAAAAATGTTTCACTTTATTTTCATTAGGTGCAAAATGTATCTATTAACCAGAAATATTCTTTTATGTTTGTTTTAAGGGTAATAATTAATAGTAAAATTTAAAAAATGCAATCCCCTGCTGTCAACAATTTCTTGGCAATATTAAATCATTATAAAATTAATAAATACAGTTGGTACCAGTTTTCTGCTTCATCTATTAGAATTAAACTTTGCTGTAAACGGTTGTTTTGCTGTTTAATTTCAACAGCTCTTTATTGTTAAAATAATGTAGAGTAAGTTGTGTTTTTACAGTAAGATTACCACATTCACAATACCTTTGTATACTCATACTGTATGAGCAGTTACAGTAATGTTACTATTTAGAATGCAGTGGAAATTATCAGGATGATGTAAATCAACATTTTAAATACTGTCTCACCGTAAAAAAATAGCTGTCCTCCATCTTGAAATGAAAGTGTGATTTAAGGGAAATAGTTTATTTTCTGTTTTTTTTTATTTTTGTATTTAATGTTTTTATATTTCAATTTGAGTGTATTAAATCATGTTCTTTTTACTTTTTATGTAATGTTTTGTGTTTACTCAGTCTAGTGCATGTTGGGGCGTAAACCAGTCGACTCAGCTCATCTCTGCTCTGACTGCTCACCTGCTTTGTGTTGTTAAGTAYAAATATTACTGTAAAGTATTTAGTTTGACAGTACTCATGTCATTTTTACTGTGACATGAAAAAGGATAAAGCTCACCGTATTACATATAGGTGATGGCGTTTTAATATTAACATGTCATTTTTTGCTCAAAACAGATGTAACAAGATGAAACTTTTTGATTTATGTATGAAATTATCCAAGTTCTCCACTAAGATGAGAGAAAACATTTATAGCTTATTTTTATTTCTCTATGTGATCGACTTTTATCATTAAAAGGATTCCAAATATTTGAACTCACCTCTAAAAAAAGTCAAATATCTCCTTGAGTGTCCAGCAACGTTCAGATCTCAAAGGCCGCCATCAAGATGTTGTTTTCCAGACATTTGTTTGGTTCCAAAGAGCTTCTCGCTAAAGGAGCAAGAACTTCTCCTTCGAGCGTTTCGGGTGTGAAGATGTCATCATCCGCCTCTCTTATTATAACTAAGTGTGCAAGCAATGCTGATGTGGTGTCACTCACACACACAAACACACACACAGACGCACGCTGTGGAGGAGCAACCCAGCCAGTTTCCTGTCGTTGAGACGTTGAGGGTTTGCTCTGCAGGCTTTTTGACAGGTGCTGTGTGTGCAGCTGTGTGTGAGCAAAGGGGGGAACGTTACAAGACAAAGGGGGTCAGGGCTGCATCGTTCCTAAACATGTTCCAATACATTAACAAAAAAGAGGTGTGTGTGGGGGGGCATCATGGCTGAAAGACTGAGGTGAAGTTAGGCTTGTGTATTTTTATCCAGGTTTGCTCTTCACGACGTGGGAGTCGCTGACATTTTTGAGGTGCTGACGTGATGCTGCTTGTTTAAAAAGAAAACAAGCATGTAAAAATATTTTGACTTTAAATCAGACGTGACCGGTTTATTTTTAATGTATGACACTAAAATGAACGCCCCACAACATGCTATAATGTCTATTTGTAGCCGATACACTTCCTGTCCTGTGGTTTCAAACTCTTAGTTTARGGTCAAAGAGAACTTGGCGAGGCTCAAATGTGGTTTTCGCCCTGACGGTGTGTTGTAAAAATAGACTTTGACCTTGATTTTCTTTTGTCCTTTAAATCTCAAGCCTTGAAATTAAAACCCTACAATAGTGGCCGTATAAGCGTCGTCCTCCATCACTGGAGAGAAGACCACCTGAACATTTGGCGCGTTTCGTTGAAGCAGGACTCACGAGGCCTCTCAGATTCAGCGTTGCCTCTGCTGTGGCGCACTCTACACTTCACACACCTCAGACTGCGGGCCGCTTTTCATCTCTTGTGGTGAACGGATGTTGCTGTAGCGCTCGCAGTGACAGGAAGTCAGTCCAAGCATCACAGAGAGTGCACAGAATACGTATGTGCTCAGAAGACCGCCACATAGATCGTGTCTTATAAAACCACCTGAATACGGTCTCTTTTTTTTCCGTTAGAGTGAAATTCTTGGGAGGATGTGTGGGGATGTTTCTTTTTTTTATTTTAACGTTACCAAATTAGCTACAAATGATTCCAATCAGTTSTAAAAGACCTCCGCCATGTTTGAAGGACGAGCCGTGCCGTGCAGGCCTCGTGAGGCCTTAAGGGTATTCCTACTCCACGTTTGTCACCGCTTCCAAGCGTGGTTGGAAATCACATTCTGTTACGCAATCGAACCCAGATGCTATCAAAGTTTTCCAGCCCTCCTACAGCCTGCTTCTCGATGCAGGTGCTGGCCTCCTTCGYGACTCTGAGGTTGGGCTTTTGTTTAGCTGCTAAAAGCGTGATGAGCTGTGCTTTATTTGCACTGTAATATTAGCTTTGAGGCGCATGATATTTATCTGATAGAAGGGGGGGGGGGGGGTTTAAAGGAAGCTGTCCGCAGGGAAAAGCAGAGTGGCGTGAGAAACACAAAGCTGGAGTTTAGAATAAAAAGGGATCCCACGGCAGAAGCGTCTGCATATTTTTCCTTATAATATTCACTCCTGTGTAGTTTTATGAAGTCATACATGAGCTCATGTATTCTGCTGCTTTCAAATTTGTCATTCAGCCGAGGCAGATTTGGTTTCCAGTGATCCAAAACGTGTCTAATAGTGTTTGTAACTGTGTCCCTTTGGGGACCTGATTTAACGTCAGGATGTTACTCATGATGTGTAGAAACAAAGAGGACACTATTGTGCCTGTAGAATACAGGGCAGATGATTGGTCCGCTGGATCATGTGACTGAATTTACTCTCATGCACAGACAGAGAACTAACAAACATGCAGCTTTAAATCATTTTATTATCAGCATATAAACTTCTTTCTGTCACTGGTATGGGACAAAGTTGCTTTATGATTTTGTGTGCAAGAAAAGGACTTACACATCAAACATTTTCCTCCATCTCATGCAAAGCTTCATTTATATTAGTGTTCAGGAGTTTGTGCATAAAACGTGATTTTAAACATTTGATTCATCCCTGGTCATATTTGAGGGGAAACATATTTGTATGCTTGTTTAGAAACCCGACCACTTAACATGCCTGCCACTGAGACTTTGGTCACTGTCCAGTTTTATATAAACCGTGCTCAGCATCAACATGCTGCCAGGAAACAATGCAGCCTCCTGTGTCTCGTCACTGTCRTAGTGATAGTTTTGGTTTTTTTGAAGAAGAGGTGTAAAAACTGTGTGCTTCCTGGTACAGATTGATGAAGGCTTCAGGAGTTTGTTGCTGGGCTGTGGGACTSTGATTCAGGTGTCTTTTTATCTGATCCCAGCAGGCAGAACCAGACACACTGACTGTGAACTTTTTAAACACGTTGTTGCCAGTTTGGTTTTATTAAAAGTAGCTTGTGTCTCTATCACTACACTTAGTCTCCAGGTTGGGGTYGTGACCCAGTTAAAGTCTGAAAAAAAGTCTCATTCTCACTCTGCCTGACATCCTCAGCAGCACATTGGTTTTGTCTCAGCAAGTTACACAGCCTTCAGGATGATTATTTGTATCATTTACCAACATTGTTCTTGTCTGTCTGTGTATGTGGTTATTGTATATCTGTTAGCAAAAKTTCTCATAAACCACTGGAGTCAGTAAATGAACATAAGTGATGAGTGAGACTTTTTTTGCTTCAAACTTTAGCACTAAAGGTTAAAATCAGCCTTTCTGTATGTATGTTTTTGGGGGTGGGTTATGTATTTTCCAGGGACATACTTCAATTTTATACCACAATCAGGTAACTATGTTACGAGAGGTATGTAAAGTACTTGAAAAAAAAGTAAAAGTAAAAACACCTTAACAGAAAATGACTTTGGTAAAAATTAATTTCACTGATGAGAAAAGTACTTCAGTAAAAGTCATAAAACTGTTTACAAAAATCGGGAAATCAAAAGTACTTTTACACACTCTCAAAGAAATACACTTTTGAATTTACTTAACCCCTTAATAGTCTTTATTCCACTGGTGGACAAAAATGGTTGGGTTTCTGCTTTTAAACATTTCCGGACGCTACTGGGAGCTATTTTTTTAAAACCAGGGTGTCAGACGACTTCCTCCGATTCTTAGTTTGACACGTTTTAAAAAAATGTCAAAATGCTTTTAAGGAATTTCAGRGGCAAACCAAAGGGGTTAACCAAACTGGTTCCACTAAACCGAGATGAGAAAAACTGTGTACTGCTAGGTTTATTGGAACCAGTTGACTTGGTTGAGTAAATTCAACACTTCATTTTTTAGAGCGCATTAACAACTCCTTTTTTGATGCGTTCAGACAGATTTAATTTTGTAACGAGTAACTAGGTGTTGAATTTTGAAATACAGAAATAAGAGTATCATTGWTAGGTTTTAAATATAAGAAAATAAAAGTAACGATTTAACAAAAAACACTTGGTAAAATTACAAATCCTCAAAAAAAATTACTTAAGTAATGAAGTAAATGTATAAATCTCTGCATGTTACACTCAGTTGTTATGAAAATGCTGCATTCATTAAAAACGCAATTAACTTTGCGTGAAAGTCTATCTAAACACCTTGACATTGGCCTCTGCCTCTTTAAGAACCTCCTACCGTTTCTGACACTCCCACTTCAGCACGTCTTCACAACAGTGCAATGAGAGGGGTGTTCTGAGCTGCAGACTGAGCTCCAGGGAGGAGCTTTGGGTAAATAGGCGGTGTTTTGTACCAGCAAGTGTTTAGATAGCTCCACAGGAGATTCAAGGATTACTCTAACATGCATGAATGAGCCAAAGCAACACTCTGGGTGTGTTTTTGAAGAGGGAATGACATTATAACACGACGTAAAGCTAAAAAAAGTCAATTTTGCATAATGCCCTTCAATGAAACTTTCAGGAAGAATGCATTGGGTGTTCAGCTGCAGCTGGTTTACTTATGAAGTCAACGCAGTTTGCAGGTAATTGACACAAAAACAGCTACAACTCAGTCGATTTGACAGACAAGCAAAAACATTTGATGTGGTAGTAGCTGAGCATTTTTTGTAACCCATACTCTGACATCTCAGCTAGACCTACTTCAGTAACTTTTCAACATTTAAATCTAAAACCTGGCACAAACGGTGGTGGATGGCACCCTTAAGGAGTGCCAGGCCTTTGTTTTATTTCAGTCTTAAAAATATTTCCGCAGCGTGCAAAGAAGTGCAAACAGCAGCTCAGATTCAGTCCACTCGGAAGCTCTGAAGGGTTTAAAGGCGTGGGTCTCTGCAGGTGTGCAAACAGAAGCTTCCTCTTGTCAAAAACACATTTATCGTTTTTTATTTCCCCTCATGGCAGAGAGTCACAGAGAGCCACGGCTCGCTCCGACCCGCGGCCACTCGAAGAGGAAACATTCAGCACAGCGAGAAGCGTCGGGAGTTGATGTTCATCTTGGTGAGGCCCAGGTGTTTCAGAGGAGTGGACAGAGCGAAGGCCGCCTTCATGGGGATGTCACACAGCAGGTCCAGCTCCTCCCCGCACTCCTCCAGCTCGTAGGTGGCGTCGTCCAGCATCTCCTTGTGGCGGTGGCACACCTGCTCCACCTTCAGCCGGTGGATCTCCCCGCGCAGGCGGATCAGCTGACGGGCCAGGCGGTTGTCCTGGATCTGCATCTCCCTCTGGGGATGTGAGAGAGCGAGGGGGAACTCAAGTGAGAAAACCAATATCTTGTCATCAAAGGGGAGCGAAAACGCTGGCAAGAGGAGTCATGTGGGCTGCAAGTCAAGGCAGCGTATTGTTTCACAAACTCTTTTGTTTAGGCTGAGAGTACTACAGCGGATCATCCCTCATGTCATCATACTCATTGCAAAGACGTTCACAAAAGGGATAAACTTAATCTGCACAGATTCTTCATTGCTGGAAGAAATTTTCGATGGAAATGTGACCTTAAAGGAAAATTTTGCAAGCAAAATTCATTTTTATAGTTTAAAAATGTGCCAAAGATTAAACTTACAGGCTGTGTTTGTTTACGAGAGTTTCCTGGAATGGATGTGTGTAAATTGATGTGCAGAAAGGGCTAAAAGCCAGCCCAGCGGTTTGTTTACATTGGGTGTGGACCTACATTTCATCTCAATATATTTGGATAAGTACTGAAGTAATCTCTTTGATGATGCACCAGTTCAGGATAAACTTTCCGCAATGCTGATCAGTGACATTGATTTAATGCAGTGCCACCACAGACAAATCTTTGGCCACCCCTTTGGCCACCCTGCTGTACACAGCGAAACAACCTTTAGGGGTGTAATAATCCTCCTGAACAGTTGGTGGCAGTGTTTAGCAGTTTGAAACATTACCAAGCTCTATTACTGAAGAAGAGTAATGACAAGGAAGTGATGGTTTTCTTTATATACAGAACATATGCCTGTAATATGACTTATGATGTCATCCTTTGGACTTATGGTGACAGATTATTTATTTATTTATTTATTTATTTATTTATTTATTTATTTATTTATTTATTCATTCATTTATGCAATGAAGGATGCATGATGCTCTGTCCCTTTTGGTTATCAGTTGGCCTATCACTAAATCCTAAAAAGTGAAACACCCCTCTAAATTCACTGTTGGCGGTTTTCAATATTGCACCTGTTCATTGGGTAAAATTATTAATTTTAGTTTTAAATATGCAGCTGAGGGTCATCATTATTTGGCACAATGACATGTGTTACAATTAAAAATAAATCAATAAACAATATACAAGTAAAAAGCCCCCCCTAAATCCATTGGATATGATAAACTGTGTCACATTAATTAAGCTTATCTCAGTTGTAGCAGTGAGTTTAAAAACAGGATGATGGAACTAGTTTAATGAAGAATCTGTCTCTGAAATAATTATTAAATCAAGTGTTTAATTATGTAGGTAAAATTATATGGCCTGTTAAAATGCACCAGAATGCAGGAAATGGCATCTATTTCATTCAAAATTTTCTGGGGGAGGACCCCCAGACCCCCAACATGCCCCCCACCCAGTTTTAAAATTGTTCTGACGCCCATGTTTATAAGGTAGTCCCTGCCTGTAAAAGGACATAAGGAAATGATCAAAACGCAAAAGATCTGCAGAAAATTTCAAGTAAAAAAAAAATGATGTAATTTTCCTGGCCACCTGTGTGTGAGTAGTGGTCCCGGTGTGGCCACCCCTGAGAAAAAAGTCTGGCTCCGCCACTGATTTAATGATCAGGAGGAACTCACCAGCTCTTTCCTCAGAAACTCCAAAGCATCATCAATGGTGTCAAAGCCACAGATGTTGCGCACCACCAGCTCCGAGTTCTCGGCTCTGGAAGCCGCCGGGATGGTGCCGGCTTCTCCTCCGGGGTCTGCAGCGTTTCCGTCCGWCCAGGGGCGGCTCTGCAGCCTCTCCTGCCACTCCAGGTAGGACGGTCTGCGCGTCTGCAGCTTCAGCTTCTCTGTCAGAGCTTTGACGCTGTCCAGGTCCTCCGCGCCTCCCTCCGAGGAGTCAGCTCCAAACTCTTTAAAATCCATCCAGGCTACAACAGAAAGATCAGCTTCCTGACGCAGGAAAAGTCAGGCTGGATGTGTGGAGGAGCGCAACAGGTCCCAGGCTCCTTAATAAGGAGAAGTGAAACAGTGACCGCCCATCCCGCGGAGGAGGAGGGGAGGATTTATTTGTTGTTTGGTTCTGGGGAGGAGAGCCTGTTGTTTTGTACAAAAACACAACTTCAAGATGCAGAACATTTGTCAAAAGCTTTAAAAAATGCACCAAGCAAAGCTAAAAAAGGCAAAAACGTTATGTAAAAGTCAAAAGTGTCAAAATAAAGTAGAAAAGGCCAAGCATCAATAAAAGCTAAAAAGCAAAAGCTTAGATAAAAGCTAAATGTAGCAAATTAGGCTGCTTAAGATTCTAAAGTTGCAAAAGGTGAGCAAAACTATAAAAGTAGCAAAATACCAACTAAAAGCTAAAAAAGGGCAAAAGCCTAAAACCTAAATGACTTGCTAAAATTTTAAAGTTGCAAAAGGAGAGCTAAAATCTAAAAATGGCAAAACGGTAAATAAATAAATAAATAAATAAATAAATAAATAAATAAATAAATAAAAGCAGCAAAATGCAAGCTAAAAGCACCAGAAGGTTAACCAAAGGCTAAAAATAGTACAAGTTTATCCAAAAGTAGAAGCAACAAAATGCCAGTTAAAAGTAGCAGAAGACAAAACAAGTCTGATGAAACACATTTCACAAAAAATAAAAAAATAAAACACTTATGCAGAAACTGAAAAGATAATTGTTAATGGGGGGGAAATTAGTAAATAAAGGCACATTTTGGAAAAMGTATAAAAGTTACAAAAACGAGCTAAACATTTATGAACGGCTAAAAGTGGCACAAAGTTTGCAGAAGTAGCTACAGGAAACACAGAAGCACAAAAGAATGCATGTGAGCAACATACGCTCAGTGACGCTCCCTCATACTGTGGACAGTGTGCTTCAGATGCAACATAAATGCCATGAATACACAGTTGAGACAATGTGAACAAAAGCGGTATTGAAAATGAAAATCATCTTTCAGGACTGGAAAAGGTCAGCTGCTTCAGACTGCAGGAGGTCACCAGGGTCTGTAAGTCAGAATAACTCTTTTTTTTCCTCTGCTGACCGAGGAGCTTCAACATGGAGCTACTGTGTGAGTTGGTTCTGTGCACTTTTATTTATTTATGATTTACATGAGTTTATACTTTAGAGCATTCTGACAGTCAGGCACAGCAGTCATGCTGCACAATAACCAGGATTGAGCTGACACACATCCAGAATTAACATGAAAATATTTAGAAAACAACACCCTTACCCTTATTTACCTTCCACAGATGCTTKTAGGTTGTCGTTTTGTCTGGCAGATAAAACCAGCAAGCTCAGAGAGAGCAAAGAAAAATAATAATAGCCTACCACCATTACATTTACAATCATCCCTCATATAAGAAAGCTGTTTTGGAAAATCTTCTCAGGTTATTCCAATGTATTTTTCTTCTTCGTGTTCCTTATAGTATCTAAATTTGTCTAATATTCGTGATATTCATGCACAATATTGATACACATTGAGTTCTTACACTACACAAAAACGCCTAAAAAGGATGTTTTCACCGTGCGACCTCTGCTGGTCATTTTCTTTAACTGCACTTGGTTCCTTCTTACTAGTTGCCAAGAAATTTCACTGTTAAATAAACACAATTAAATAGCAAGAAATGCGTTTCCTAAAGTATTTAAACTAAATCTAATGTTTTTAATGTTGTAAGAGGTGATATTTTCTGCTGTTTGCATTTTATAGCTTGATGTGCGTGTTTGCAGGTGGAACAGTGAGGCATTAGTGCCATCTAGTGGTGACTTTTCATGTTGCACCCACATCTCGGTCCCCTCTGAGGTCTGCAGAAGGTTTTAGCTGTTAAAATGTGACACATCTGTCTGCTTCTTTACGCTCAGGAAACGCGCACTTCCGTCTTTTGTCACCTCAAACTTCTTTTTTTCCCTCCATTTTTACAGCTGCCTTGTGTTCAGCGAGTTCTGCTGCACATAAAAAAAAGGGGTCCAGCTATGTTCAGGCAAACATGCAACTTCTTCTATTTATAGGTGCCTTATCAAAAGAAAAGAAAAAACAAACACGAAACACGAACTGCAGCTCTGGAGCTCAGAAGAGGAAGGCTGCTTTCGTTTTCATAACGAAAGCGAGGAAGTGATTTGGAGCTAAAGAGGACGTTTAAAAATAAGCAAATCAAAAGAAAGTGTTTTTCTTTTCTTTTCCTTTTTTTTTACATTAAGCTGATGGAGTTCTCCGAGCACATCAAGACAGCCAATGTGGAGGATGTTGTGCTGCGACAGCCGCTCCACCCGCCGAGCAGAGGCACYCTGTGCATCACCGGACACCACCTGCTCTTCTCGGACAGGGAGGAGGACTCCTCCCGGCAACTCCTGCTGCTCCTTAGGAACATTGATGCCATTGAAAAGAGGTGAGGGGGGAAGGAGGTCACAGGTGAAAGGTCATTTGAAAAACTTTTCTCCAAAATGCCCCCCCCCCCCCATTTGTAGCTGACACAATGTGACTTTAAACACTAAGATCTGTTTTTTTACACTAATTGCTCATTAAACTTCGGATTTTCTCATYTTAAAATCATCATTACTGACTTTTGATTTGTCAAACACACATACACGAATCAGTGAGCCGCTTTCTCCTCTTGTGTCTAATTTGACTCTTTTCTTAAATAGTGTGGAAAACCTTTCGGGCTATCCTGGGTTCCTGTCTAAAGCAGGCCACAGTGAAAGGTTGGACAATGCTGGTGTTACCGCTCGCCTGCTKTGTGCTGCCTCTGCTGTCCACAGCGCTGATGAAGGAAATTTGCTAACAAGAATTGCAGCAGCTCTTTCAGTAACAGTTTGCTCCCTGTTCTGCACCGCTTGCTGCTGTTTGTTGTCCTATAAATCCTGTGAAAGCGACGCTGAGACCACTTGGGTTTGGTCACTTGTTGCAGAAGAAATCTCCCTTCAACAGACAACCCAGCTGATGTGTTGTTGTTTTTTTACCTTCCTCCTCTGCAGCAAGTCAAGCATCCTGCACCGCTTGAGTCTAAAGCACACAGTCAAGAAATCAGGAACACTGATTGTAGTTTTGTGTGTAAGAATCAGTTGTGTGTTGTTTATGTTTAGGATGACCGGATCCTCAGGAACGATTACCATCAAGTGCAAAGATCTGCGTGTGCTTCAGCTGGACATCCCGGGCATGGAGCAGTGTCTCAACATCGCACACTCTATTGAGGTGAATTATCCCGACACTTTAACAGATCTGAACCATRAAGGAGGAGATTTAGAGAAAAAAAATGCAYAAAACTGCTKGGTACATATTGGGTATACAGGGTACTTACAGGGTAAGAACTTGGTAGTCAGGTTTGGTACTGGGTACTAACTGCGTACAGACTTGGTACTTCCAGGGTGCTTACTGGGTACATATTTGACACTTACAGAGTATGTACCTAAAAACAAAAAGGGTTTGTACCTGATACTTACCATGTACATACCTGGTACTTACTCATCAGATATTTAAGTACAGGGTAAGAAGTTACTTCATATTGCAGCCCGTTCCACTATTCCTATAGGACAGGGGTGCTCAAACATTTTTCCTGAGAGGGTCAAAATTAATATCAACCTGAGGGCCGCAGGCCAAATGCAGTACTATGAGAAATACAAATACTTCTTAAGTAAAGTTGTTTAATTTTTATAATTAAGCTTGCAGCCAGTGTGGTTGCCCACATTTTTTTTTATTTTTAGAAAATTCAATGTATGCTCAGGCAGCAAAGGCTAATGAAACTATACATAATTTAAAATTTGAGTATATGTGGTCTTTTAAGGTGCGCAAATCTAGATACATGGGCTTAAATCTAATCTAAATGTCTCTTGTAGTGACTTGTATTTTAAATTTAATCTGAAMATAATTACAATCTGGTAACCAGGACAACTGCTGGTGGGCCAAAKCAAATGGTTTGGCGGGCCAAAATTGGCYCGCGGGCCCCACTTTGGGCACCTCTGCTATCGAACTTGGTATGTGGATTGTTGTACTTACACAGGATGTATATTTGGTACTTAGTGAGCACATATCTAATACTTACAAGTTACTTCTCTGATACTTACAGAGTACTAATCTCTTATATACAAGGGATGTACTGACTTATCATGTGTACCTGGGACTTTCTGGTTACTCAGCTAAATTCACCAGACTGTTTTATGTATTGCTACCCGACTCTTTTTTTTAAATCTGGTATTAATGGTATGTACTCAGTAAGTACCAGGTGCATACCATGTAAATACTTGGTAACAATCCACTTGATAATACAGTCTGGTCCCCCGCAGGAACCAGTTATGTAACCAGTAAATACCAGGTACACACTTGCTACCAGGCTGTATTGAGTATTGCTGTGAAGTATGTATTTTTTGGTTTTTAATTTATACACACACACACACACACACACACACACACACACACACACACACACACACACACACACACACACACACA